AAAAGATACTACAAACTTCGAACTTGGCGCGGAGCACAAAGTGAAATTGGAAGCACGGTTAAGAGTGCTTGAAGAAGGAAATATCCGTCGGATAAGTGGCACTGCCAAAAAGCAAAGGCCAAATTTGAAAAATATCCAGTTAAGAACGAATACACGCAATATTCAACATTTATAAACTCAACACTGACAATTAAGAAGAGGCCATTAATCGAAGAGATTGAAACAAAGGAAAGCGAAGAAATGTCTAAAAAGAAGAAAAAGAAATACAGCACGAGTTCTGAACAGATCAAGGAGGAAATGAAGGAAGAACCGCAAACGGAAATAGAATCAGTTATCGAAAACAAACGAATATAGAAAAAAAAGAAACAATCTAAAATACAATATAAAACAAGAAGAATTTTTTATATAATCAACTATTATATTCAATATTTATTTGAAATCTTGTATGTGCATTTTTATTTTTATAGTTACCTTCACTTGTTCCAGTTTCAACTGAAACATTTTCAAATGTTTCTTTAATTTTTGCAGATGCTGTCTCTTCAAATTCAATTGATTCCTTCTTTTCTTCTTCGATATAAGATCTGAATCCGCTTTAATTTGCGCTTCTTCTTTGATACCAGAAGTTTCTGAGATATCTTCTGTTTTTATTTTTAGCTTGTGTTTCTTTTTTTTCGAAATGTTGGATTCCATTTTTATTTGCGCACCAGAAAAAAGGCATAAGAAAATCAACCACAATCCAAATCCTTCATTTCATGCTGTGATTGATTAATTTTTTTGTTTTATGCCTTATACGTTATACAACGTTATGCAAAAGTCTGGCTTATAAGATAAAAAATACAAGTTTCTACATTAAATTTTTACATATATAGGATTATTTAAAATGATTGTCTAGGTTTTCACTTATCCAATGTATATTTTTTGCCTTAAGTATTCTTAAAGCCTTCAGCTTTATCTTGTACTCCGTGCTAAGCTTGAAGCTTATGGTATCTCAATGAATTTTTTGTGACATTTAATATAGATGTAGAAGAACAATTATAGACATACGAGGCCTGTTCTTTTTAATTAAATTTCTTGGACAGTTTATCTTCTCTTTTTTTTTCTCTAATATGTATGTGTATATATATTAGGTGTTGGAATTAATTCGTAGCGTTTTACAAGTGATGGGAAGTACTTTGATGCTCAGAAGCTATTATCTCGTTTAAAGATCTTATACATTTTAATTTTTAATTAAAACATGATCCTGAGAAAAATACTTCGAGCAAATTTCAGATTTCTCTAGCTTTTTTACTCTAACTTTAGTATTTAATTAAAAATATTCTTTATACCTATTTATATACGATTATTTGAAATGATTGTCAAAGTTTCAATTTCTTGTAAATAATACATTTAACATTTATAGCCATACTGAAAGATAGATAGTTTGATTCGGACCTTTTGCTATTCAGTAGCTTCTATATTTAAAGCCTTGTATATGTAGGAAATAAGATGAATCCAATGATGGAAATGTGCCAATATTGATGGACGATAATTCAGGAGAGAATCGCAAATCACACTTCAACGCTTCGCCGTGCCACACACGTGTTTCGCTATCTTCCAACTAACTAACTCTACTAACCTTTCTGTACCTTTTCCCTCTTTCGCAAGCGCGCTGATACTCTAGCGCATATCGTCATAGTCAAAAACGCGCGAACAAAATAAAGATTTATAAACAAAACATATACTCTTCCTACACTCGATTATTCTGCACAATCGTGCGTCCCGCACGACGCCAGCTGTTAACATTGCATCTTACAAAAATAAAATTGCCGAATTATAATTAACGTCTTACAAACAAAATTGATTACTTTAATTTAACATTTAATTTTACGTCTTACAAAAATGAAATTGGTTACTTTTAATTAACTGTATTCCAAGGTTTAACATATTCAGCGCAAGTACTTACAGGTCCTTCGTGAGATCCGCTTTTAATCGTATGTGTCATTAGGTTTAACTTTCTCAATTAGATATGATCCTAAATATTTCGCTCGTAATTTTCAGCCTGGACCTAATTGTGTTCGTTTGATTCCTACTAGGTCTCCCACCTGGTATTCTGTAGCTTTCTTACGTCTGAGGTTATATGTCTTACAATTCTCCGATTGCACTTTCAGAATTTGCTCTTTCGCTCTAATTTCGTTACACTCTTCCTCAAATTTTGATCGAAATTCTTGTTCTATTACTTTGCGTAGTTTAGATCGGTTTCGTCGCGTATTTTTACGTCAAATAGTAAGTCAAAAGGCGTCGCATTTACACTACGATTGAATGTGGAATTTAATATACGTTGCAATTTATCTACATGTTTGTACCATTTAGCAGGTTCTTCGATTGATAACTTGGAAAGTATCGATATGATCACTCTATTCAAACGTTCCTCTTGTCCGTTTGCCCTTGGCAATCCCGTGGTAACTGTCACGTGTTCAATTCCTTCACTCTGACAATACTCCTTGAACTCTTGGGAGGTAAAAGCTTTGCCTCTATCCGTCACGATTTGTTTCGGACTCCCGAATATTTGTTTTCGAATGTCTAACCGATTTGTAACCTCGCGAGTTGTGGTAGGTATTTAGTCGGATACAACCATACAAATTTAGTAAAACTATCAATAAAGCGAGAATATGATTGTAGTTTTTATTAGTGGTATCTAACGGCCCTAAATGATCGGCATGATATGTGTGTAATGGTACATAAGGTTTGGGAATGGGGTGCAAATATCCTTCCTGCCTACCTTCTTTGCGATTCGTTAATATACACTGCACGCAATGTGTCGTTCTACTTTATTTCTTAAATCGCGTATAAAATACTCCTGCCGAATATGCTCTTCGGTACATTTTGCCGCCATATGTCCTTTCTCGTGAATTTCTCTCGAATTACGCCTAATTATAGCGTTCTAGGAATAACAAGTAAATCCCTATCATCTTGAAATTTATATAATAAATCGCCGCTTATGTGATAAATCTTATACGATTTGTCTTTGACAATTTCTTTTATCGCTTGAATCTCTTCATCGCTTGTTTATTGACTCCTAATTTGTGGTATAATTGGGCTTTTCACTATTGTCATAATCGGATGCCGACTCAAAGTATCGACGTGTTTCATACGGATTCCCGGTCTGCGTTCTATGATGTAATCATAATCCTCTAACACTAAAGCCCATCTCGCAATACGTGTACTTAACTCTTTTTTGCTCATGGTTCGCTGAAAAGCCACACAATCAGTAAGTATTTTAAATTGAATTCCTAACAGATACACTCGGAATTTTCTAAGTGCCTCTACTATCGCAAGCGCCTCCAATTCGTAACTCGTGTAATTTCTTTCCTCTTTTTTAGTCTTTTTGCTCATAAAATATACTGAGTATAATAAGTTGTCTTCGTCTGAACGCTGTAGAAGTACAGCTCCATAACTATTTATATTTACGTCCATATGTACTTCTGTTTCGTGTCGCGAATGATATATTTTCAGCACTGGATTCTGAATTAGAATCGTCTTCAATTATATGAACGCGTTTCGAGCCTAATCGTCAAAATTATAATATAAAATTGATCTTTCCGCAACATGTCGCTCAACGGTTTCGCGATTGTAGAATACGAAGGTATAAACTTTCTGAAGTAACCCGTTAATCCAAGAAAGCTTTGAATATATTTTAATTCTTTCGGCTCTGAGTAATCTATCACGGCTTTGACTTTCTCTTGGGAAGGGTAAATTTTGCCCCCTTCTACTATATGATCTAGAAACTCAATGGTTCTTTTCACGAATTGACACTTTTTAAAATTAATTTGTAAACCGTAGTCGCTAGCTATCTTTAATACGATTCGCAATCGTTCCAACGCTTCTTGTTCGTTTGCGGCACGATCACGTCACCTACGTAAAGCAGCATTATATTTTGTCTAATCAAGTTCCAGAAAGCAGCATTAACGTATCTTCGGAAAATCCTCGGCGAATTACATAATCCAAAAGGGACTTTCAAGAATTGATATTGACCGTTCGGGGTGACAAACGCCGTATATTTTCGACTCTCTTTTTCTACGGATACATGAAAAAATCCATTTTTTAGATCTAACATACTAAACACACAAGCATCCTCTAATTTATCTAGTAGTGACTCGCTTTAATTTCCTATAATCAATACATACACGCGGTGATCCGTCCTTCTTTCTTACTATGCCTATTGGACTCGCGTATTCCGACGTACATTTCTCAATGACCCCGTCGTTTAGCCATTTGGGTATTTCCGCTATTTGGTTTTCAACTATTTCGCGCTAAGGTGCCGGTAATCGTCGCGGTTTTTGAAAAATAGGCCTTTCGTCTTTTGGTACAATACGCATGCTCACGTTGTTTTACACTTATTTATTTGATACGTTTCAACAATTGTCTCTACTTCTTCGCGTACTTTCGGATCCGTTACGTTATTAATGTAATTGGTACCAATGTCTAACGGTTGCTTTTCGATCACGTTGATTTGTGTTAACAATTGAGCAGGTGTTGCGTATAGTTATTCCGTCGTTATTGATGCTCATTTCCGTCATCGCTAGAAAATCGTTACCAATTATGAAGCTTTATTTGGCACAACGTGCACTACACATGGATATTCCTCAGCATCTACTTCTACAATTATATTTACGCAACCTAATGAATGCACTTCGTTTTTTCCAAAACCGGTTAAACAGATACTATTTCCTCGTAGTTTATCTAATTTCATTTGATCATAAACATCTTTGCGCATTACCATGATTTAACTGCCGGTATCAATTAACGCATTAACCCGCACACCGTTTATCATGATTTGTTTAAACATTCTAACATTCTCTCGCTCGATGAATCAATAACCGTATTAATTACCGCCGTCTTTTTATCCGCTACTGCTTCACTATCGTCTGACGCGTTATACCACTTTGCAGTATGCCCGTATTTTTGAATACCGTATTTTGAACACTTAAAACATTTTTTACCTAATTCTTTCTTCTTACTTCTTTAGCTTTGTGTCCTTTACCGCCGCAATTGTAGCACCGCACGTCTGTTTCTTGTTCTTTTTCGCCATTTTTTGGTGTTGTTGGTTTCCTCACTTCCTCTGTCTTCTTCGGCATATTGTTCTTCTCTCTCGTTCTCATCCTCTTAGTATTCTTCTTCCGAATTGCTTCGTATACTTTAAGCTTCTCCTTCTGTCAATTTTTTAACTCCGTACAATAGGATCTTGCTCTGTGCGTCTTCCGGGATTCCGTCAATCACGTATTTCATGAGTGTTTCTGCTTCTATTTTGCCTCTGGCAGCTATTTCTTTCATCACATAATATTCCTGCAAAGTTTCGTCCCTCTTCAGTCTTCTTCTGACCAACATATCGTGTATTTGGGCACTGTTTATTTTGTCTATAAATTCATCTCTTTAGTAGAATTTCTTTTAATTTCTTTCACGATAACGCCTTCGCTGTCGATGAGCATTTTAACAGATCCGGCTAGTGATTTCTTTGCGAACACTAACTTCTGTAATTCCGACCATTCGAACAGATTAGCCGCATCTTCAAATTCAGCTATCCATCTTTCAACCGGATATGTATCTTTTCCAGTGAAAGTTTTAATTGAATCTTGTACGTCTCGATATGTCATGGAGAATTTCGTGTTCACTTGACTGCCTCTGGTAGAGTGGTTCTCTTCGAGATTATTTTCACTTGCTTTGTTGCTTCTTTCTTCCTCTCTTTCGTCGTCTTACTCGTCAACTGTTCCCTCGTCGCTCGCATCTTCGTCTAATTCATCGTTTTATTCACTATCTTTAGGCGTGAGAGTATTTAAATCCATTAAACCATGTACTATGCGTTATTATCTCTTCTCTGTTTCCGCCGTACTCTAAACCAAGAATATTACAGTAGGATATCAAGTCACCGATCGAAAGTTTTCGCGCCGCTTCTATTTTATTCACGTATCCCGTTGTGTCTTTCTTGAAAGTAAAACCCTCAAAGTCTTTGTCTATTTTTTCGATCACCTTCCTTTTCGAAAATAAATTTGTGTAAAGCTGTCACGGCAACAGTCGATGCCGTACGTATCTTCTGCACGTGTGTGAAGTTGGCACCTCATTTTTTGGCACCGCAAATTTTGATAAGAGTTCCATTGGCACTCGCAATAGTTCTATAGTTCCTGATAGGTTTTATAAATAGTTCCGTTGATTTAGTTAAAAAAAAATACTTGAAAATTAAGTACTTTTTAATAACAATTAAACCCGCGCGCTGGCACCGCACCACAAGAGTAAAGTACTCTTTAACAGCCAGTTCCAGTCGACTTATTATAGTTCCTTATTTATCCTATTTTCCTGTAGTTCTATAATAGTTCCGATGATTTTTATAGATTTCGATCGAAGTTCTTGTCTTTAAGTATTTTTTAATAATAATTAAATTTATGGACTGGCACCGCACCACAAGAGTAAAGTATCTCTTAAGAAGATTGTAAGAGCATAAAACATATATTAATATTTACGCTTTAAACAAATTACATATGTGAGTTATGTTGATGACATTGTCTTTATTGAGTAACACATTTTTATATATTATTTACATTATTTGTTATTAGTTTTATTATTATGAACAGAAATTTTGAAAATAAAAATATAAATTTTTTATATACATATTTGAAGTACTAAAAATGACTTATGCAAAGTTTCATTAAGTTTCATTAAGATTCAATTATTTTACAACAAAAAAATATTTTGATTATTTACTAAACATTTAATGTCTTCATTTTAATGTAACTTTGCACAACTTTACGTGAATGTGTTTGTGTGTGTATGTATGTGTGTGTGTGTGTGCGCGTGCGCGTGCGCGTGCATGCCCACATGTGTCCATTAACATTTAACGTATAGTATAACGTGTGGATTAATTTCCTGTGCATCGTTTACTGTCTCACGTTTTTTCTTCAAGTCGTCATATTTGTATCAATGTGTACCTGCGAGTGCATACGCAATATAATGCCCGTTGTTGGTATTTCCATACTGTATGTAATGAACAATACCTGCTAGTACATAATTTATGTTGTTCATAGTAACAGTTTTTGCTATAGAATTTAAATGATATTTATTATTTACATTTCTGTTAAGGTATCTATGATCAATAAATACAGATGTGTCTATTAATATATGTTTTCCATATTCGAAATTACTACACGCTAATGCACCACATTTTTGACAGTTGGATGGAATATTTTGTGCATCATCTATTGCTCGCTGCATATTCTGCAATCCTTGGTGAAAAATTATATCTATATTTATATTGCAGAATACTGATGAACGCGAATTCGTAAAATTACAAATGCACGATTTTGTAAATACGTAACTGGGTTCATTTTTAAAAATATTCCGCCAGATGTGCGTTGCAGTTAGTATTTAATCGTTTGATTCCACGTGTATAAACAGTTATCGCGTTACGAAAGAGTGGCAAATTTCTATTATAATATGGAAGCTCTTTCATTATAATGTATGGAAAACAATCTTCCGTTTTCTAAAATGGAGCGAGCCAGTTTAAAAATACCGTCGGTGCATGATTCGGTTGCCTCCCGATATGCTTCATGTGTTGCGATTCTACTTGCTACGAGTTGTAGTAATGAATCGAAAGCACATGTTTTGTGTAGCGTCATTATGACTCCTTGTCTGCTACTGGCTTGCATTTACTTCTGTTTATAATAAGAGGTAAATTTCGCGACGTAATGTTTTTTAAAATGTCCCATTCTGGACATTTGTCCAAGTATGACGGTTTAGTTCGCTTTTTTGGAATAGGCTTGGGAAGTTCTTCAACACACTTGTTGACAATTTTTTCTGAACCGATCAAACCGTGCCAATTCTCGCAAGTATTCCAATTTTTTTTAACTGCGTCATCAGAATCATGCGGGTTGTGCTCAATAGATTATCAGACGTGTAAATTTCGCTCAAAATCCTTATTGGTTTCATGCGAATTTTGTTTAGTGATGAAAGTATCTGTGTTATTTATAGTATACTCGATTTCATCAGTTTTATCGAAATCTTGTCATCACATTTTTGCACATACTCGTCTAATCTATCTATTTCAGGTTTTTTTGTAACAAGTGTTTTGTTAGATACGGATATTTCATCCAATTGCAGCGGTCTATCATTTTTTGTACAAATGTCCTTTTCGTTGGATGCAAGGGTAACTTTGGCATCTAGAAAATGTAGATGCTGCATCACAAATTTGTCAATCCTCATTGGAAGTTGATCTTTAAAAGCTCTATTTTTGAGATCACTAAATTCCGCTTCAACTGATGAAGAAGTTGCGATTTCTCCCGATTTATTAAAATATTGACGCATTATACCCGTCCATATAGACAAATAAGGTAACAAACGTGTTTTGATTTGTTTTGCAAAATCGGGATTGTAACATGCATTTATTATATTACCGTATTCTGAGTTCTTCGCAACTTTTTGTGCAAAAAGTCTCAAATAGAATTGCTCCATTCCAGCCAGCTAGTATTGCAGTTTTCCTCATAACTAGAATTATCATTACTATTATGATTGAGTTTCTGAATTCTCATTATTATCATTATCACATGTGTTATTTGTTTCTATTATATTATTATCTTTTATAATACCATTTAAATATTGCAAACGTTCATTGGACGTCAATGGCTTACCGTCCATTGTACACCCAATATTTTTGCTTAGTGCTACAATTGAAATGGATTCCATAAAATATTTCATTTCTTTCAGAGAATTTTATATGCTTGGCCAATGCAGCGAAGATAAAATGCTCGCACTAATATTTTATCGCTACCTTTTAGACATTTCCATCTTGATATCATACGAATTAGATGACTAACATCTAATCTTATGTAACATGATGGAATCATGTTAGTATTTTCCATAACTATAGTCATGTGGCACTTTTGTAAATAGTCCTTCAAGTCATTACATTTCGCAAAAACATTCGAAACCGCGATTGAATGGCCCAACCAAAATCGGATACAACCGTATATAGTATAGGAATACCTTTAGCAATAACATTGCGCAAAAAAAACATCGCTCTATGATCAGATGAGATCATTTGAAATACCGGAATGCTACCGTCTTTGTTAACAAAAACGCATTGATATAAAAATATCGGGAAATCTTGTGACGTTTCGCGTTTAATTATGCCGCCTGTGGCATCAAGCGTCAAAAACGCTTCTGGATCACTTTTATGCTTTGCCAAATATAATAATTATTGTTCAGTGGTCCAATATATGCAAAAAAAGGGTAATAAGCTAATATTAATAATTGATCCAATGTATTTACTGTGCTTTGCATTATTTAACAAGTTTAATACAGGATTACTAAATATTAATCCGTGCTGCTGCAACAATCTTTCTTCCTTTGCGTAAAACTGTAGAAGAAGGAAGGATTGGAGGATCTTTGTCTCCAAATATCTTTAAACGTTTTGCCTCTTCTCGGCAGAAAGATATTGCATCTTTACGTTGCTCAATCATTTTATCAGCAATTAGTGCATGTTTCTTACCTTTAAGATGTCTTTTCTTGTTTGTATCATGTTTCGCAGAACATATATTTTCTACTGTGCACTGAAAAATAACATCAGTATCGTCGCTTGGTATTCTGAATAGTATGCCTGCAATAGTTGCAGCACATTTCGTGCAACTACCTTGAAAGGAAACATAACAGCGTGCTTCTGCACTAATATGTACATTGTGCTTTTTAAATTTAAAAACACAGACAAGTTTTTGCTGCTGCCACAACTTTTCGACTATTATGTCAGTCCAACTTGATTTTAACACCCAGTAAACCCGATAATTATATATTTTTTTTATAGATTTCATTATTTGCCATTTATCTGCCGATATGACAAGATTGAACTTCTTCGAATATGTGAAAATATTCGAAGATGATATATTAATACTATTTCGAGAAATAGACGTATCAATATTTTCCTCGATTTGATAATCAGTATTGTAATGTTGCATCAACAGATTTTTATATCCGTTGCGATTCTCGCGTACAATGACATATATATGTTTGGGTGTAATATGACAATTACGTTCATGCATTTTCTGCGAAATAATCGTATATACGGGTGCAGAAGGTGGATACGGTTTGCCGTCATTGTCAAGAGTGCGACAATCATCAAGTAACAAAATTTTTAACAAGACAGATTTGTCTTACATAATTACTGTATCATAAGAAGAAGGAGCAAAAACTGCTTAAAAATAAGCGCAAAATGTTCTGTAATAGTAATATGTACGAGGTACATGCAAATAGATTGAGGATTGTAGCATATAACGTCTCTGCTTCCTGAAACGTATAGTGAGCATTCAAATTCCACTCTACACTATCTGTTCTTAAAAAAGAAAGCTTCAAATCGCTGCAGAACGAACAATCGCCGAATAACAGTAAGCTCACGGCATGCGTGTCTAAGACCGAACATTTGGTCCCCGACGCCAGTCTCAACGCCGCAGAGGACCGTCCCCTCCACTTTTGCCCCACCTAACACGACTGCGCACGCAGCGCAGTAGCTGAGCGCGGTGACACTTGGTGAAGGTATACACTCGCAAGTACACATTGGTACAAATACGACGACTTGAAAAAACGTGAGACAGTAAATGATGCACAGGAAATTAATCCACGTTATACTATACGTTAAATGTTAATGGACACGTGTGGACATGCACGCGCCCCAACACACGCACGCACGCGCACACACACACACACGCGCGCGCGCACACGCGCAAAGTTGTACAAAGTTGTACATTAAAATGAAGACATTAAATGTTTAGTAAATAAACAAAATATTTAATTGTTATAAAAAATAATTGGTGAATCTTATTGAACCTTTGCATAAGTCATTTTTAGTACGAAATATGTATATAAAAAATTTAGATTTTTATTTTCAAAATTTCTGTTCATAACAATAAAACTAATAAGAAATAATGTAAATAATATATAAAAATGTGTTACTCAATAAAGACAATGTTATCAACATAACTCACATATGTAATTTGTTTAAAGCGTAAATATTAATATATGTTTTACCCTTGTTGCCCTTACAATCTTCTTAAGAGATACTTTACTCTTGTGATGCGGTGCCAGTCCATAAATTTAATTATTATTAGAAAATACTTAAAGACGAGAACTTCGATCAAAATTTATAAAAATCGTCGGAACTATTATATAGAACTACAGGAAAATGCCAACAAGTCGGCTAGAACTGGCTGTTAAAGAGTACTTTACTCTTGTGGTGCGGTGCCAGCGCGCGGGTTTAATTGTTATTAAAAAGTACTTAAAGGGCAGAACTCTGAGCGAAATCTATAAAAATCGTCGGAACTATTGTAGAACTATAAGAAAATGCCAACAAGTCTGCTGGAACTGGCTGTTAAAGAGTACTTTACTCTTGTGGTGCGGTGCCAGCGCGCGGGTTTAATTGTTATTAAAAAGTACTTAAAGGGCAGAACTCTGAGCGAAATCTATAAAAATCGTCGGAACTATTGTAGAACTATAAGAAAATGCCAACAAGTCTGCTGGAACTGGCTGTTAAAGAGTACTTTACTCTTGTGGTGCGGTGCCAGCGCGCGGGGTTAATTGTTATTAAAAAGTACTTAAAGGGCAGAACTCTGAGCGAAATCTATAAAAATCGTCGGAACTATTGTAGAACTACAGGAAAATGCCAACAAGTCGGCTGGAACTGGCTATTAAAGAGTACTTTACTCTTGTGATGCGGTGCCAGCGCGCGTGTTTAATTATTATTTAAAATAACTTAGAGACCAGAACTATTGTTAAAACCTATCAGGAATTGTAGAACTCTTCGAGAACTATAAAATTTCATAGTTTTCAATTGATTTTTCGAATCTTGCGGTGCCACGGGAAGTTAGCATCGCAAATTTTCAAGTGTTATTTTTTTTAGCTAAATCAACGGAACTATTTATAAAACCTATGAGGAACTATAGAACTATTGCGGGTGCCAATGGAACTCTTATCAAAATTTGCGGTGCCAAAAGATGAGGTACCAACTTCACACACGTATCTTTTGCTTGATTGGTTCAATTTGCGCGAGATTATTTATCTTGTCTCTGCACATTTTACGCAATGTGATAAATGTTTACCGTCGCGCGCTCACTGTTATTGTACCGTCTTGTTCGCGTACACTCAAGACTACCGTCTCACGTTCATTTACGTCGTGCAATCCTGCCACCACACTTTCGATGTCGTTACCAGCGCTACTGTCGCGCGCTTACCCGCGTATTATCACTGCCCTCTCGATGTTGGTGTTACTGACGCATTCACAGTCTTGTCAATGTATTTCTGGTGTCGCTGCGTCACCTTGTAGTTGTACACTCGATGCCTTTCGAATTCTTAACGTCTTCGAGATTTGAATGTCGTCTTCCTTCTTCTTTCCTCCTTCTCGTCGTCGTGTCCTCTCCGTTTTGGTCTTTTCGTCCTTTCATCTCTTCGTCTTTTCCTTCGTCCTGTCGTCTCCCGTTTTATCGTCTTGCGTCTTTTCGTCTTGTTTCTTCTTCATCTTTTCTTTCGTCCTATCGTCTCTCGTCTTATCGTCTTTCGTCTTTCCGTCTTTTTCGTCTTTTCTTTCATCTTTTCTTTCTCTCGTCTTATCGTCTTTCGTCTTGCGTCTTTTCTTCTTCGTCTTTAGTCTTTTCGTCTTTTTCGTCTTTTTTCCCCTTTTGTCTCTCATCAGCTCTTATCCCGGCTGAGCCCCCAAATTTGTAAGAAATAAGATAAATCCATTGATGGAAATGTTCGATGAGCCAATATTGATGGACGACAATTCAGGAGAGAATCGCAAATTACACTTCAACGCTTCGCCGTGCCACACACGTGTTTCGCCATCTTCCAACTAATTAACTCTACTAACCTTCCTGTACCTTTTCCCTTTTGCGCAAGCGCGCTGATACTCTAGCGCATATCGTCATAGTTAGAAACACGCGAACAAAATAAAGATTTATAAACAAAACATATACTCTTCCTACATATATCGCATTGATCGAGTTGTTCAATGTGATTTATTAATTCCTTCTTCATCTGAAATCTTATAACGACTCACACAAAAATAATAGAGTAAGAAACTATATATAAAGATCTTTCACGAGACGATTGCACGCGATTAAGATCATAAATCGAAAGCCGATTATGTTATAAGTATATTAGATATTAGCACATGACTTGCAAAAAATCTAATATCTCATATATTTTTTACATTATATATTCATATAAATATCAATATTAATTAGAAATGCATATATGTGACAACAGATGTGTCTACAGAGCAATACATCATAGATTTAACGATTAAATCATGAAAGTTAATTTAAAACTTTCGCGATAGATTTCCACAATACATACTCTTTAGAATTTATTTTCGTTCAAAAAGAATATATTTTCCAAAAAAAATACTATATATTAATAAAATATACAATATATTAAAAAATTTAAATAATTCACGAGCGTAAACGATATCATTTCTACAGAAATTAGCACAACAGAAGATATGTATATAATAAATGATTATTAATTTATAGTATTGAAGCAATGTTTGTAAGTGAAGGAATTTTAGTTTTATTTATTTTATTTTTAAAATATGCTTATTTTGGAAAAATAGAAATATTATTTAAGGAAAAACGTTATATATACGTACTTATATATACATTCATAAAAAGAAAATGTCATCAGTATCGAATCCGAAAAAATTCTGACTTCAATAGCAGACTTCGATCTATATATTAGGGGGTTGCATTAAAAGTTACTGTGTTTTTTTGTATTTGAGCACTTATTTCAATAATAAAATATATGAATACCTCAATCAAAGTATTTTCCCTCGGAAGCTATTTGCCACTTTTCAGGCAGAAGTTGAATTCCACGACGAAAGAATGGTCTGTCTTTTGAATCAATCCATTCAGCAACCCAATTTTCGACTTCGCTATAATTATGGAAGTGTGTATCTTCCAGAGCATGTTGCATCGATCGGAACAGATGATAATCGCTTGGTGCTAAGTCCGGAGAATACGCTGGGTGCGGGAGACCCTCCCATTCGAGATCCATCAATGTTTGTTTCACGATTATAGCAACATGCGGCCGAGCGTTATCATGGAGTAAAATCACCTTTCGACGATTTGATGTAATTGATGGTCGTTTTTGCATCAAATTATCATTCAAACGTTTCAATTGTTGTCGATAACACTCGGCAATGATTGTTTCGTTCAGTTTAAGCAACTCATAATACACGACACCCTCCATATCCCACCAAATACAGAGCATTGCTTTGTTTGTCGTGAACATCACAATCACCACTTTTGAATCGTCGAAACCAGTTTCTACATACTGTTTCCGATGAAGCAGATTCACTATAAATTTCCGCAAGCAATCAATGAGTTTCAACTGCACTTTTTTTCAAATCAAAATAGTGTAGAAGTACACATCGGAAAAACAACTTATCACGTTGCATTTTAATTCAGTTATAGAAAAACACATATGTAACCAAGGATGATGTCTGTTGACTGAATTTTAGTAGGAAATGTTCACACTTCAAAATGATATAAGTAGCAGATGTCTTTGACCATAGCATACGCAGCTACTGTCATCTAAACGTGAACAGTAACTTTTAATGCAAACCCCTAATACATTTGGATATTTGGTGTGATGGGCCATGATGTGCGTCGTGACTTCCCATCTATAGAAAATAAATAACAAATATTTTTCTCGTTATAATATATATAATATGTATTTTAAAAATAATTACTAACTGGTTATTAATTTCTTTGTTATTTATCAGTCAGTAATAATCGTCCTAAATATTTACTTTACATTATATATCAATACAAAAATTCTAACCGTAAACAGTTGACAACAGAGAAAAATATCAGGGCGCTCCTCGTCACGATCCCAGGCCTGTTCTCTCCTCCGAGTTGATAGACTCGCTCACTGAGCCACACAGCCCTGACGCTGTTGGTATCTTTGTTGTGTGCATATCTAATAAATTTCTTATATTGACGTTCTCATATGTAATATTTTTTATAACATACCGTTCAATAATACATTTCGTTTCTAATTGTACGGTTTTCATAGTAATAATTTTTGAAATTTTGGCTGAGTTCAGCAGAACACAACAGTTTTGCAACCATTTTATGATTCTCTGGTGAGATAGGACCATTCCTCTTGATCTAAAAACATAACTCAATCAGCGCGAAGGAAACTTCCAACAATTACAAAATAAATGTTCTGCTGAACGCAGCCAATGGTTTCTCTAATTAAATGTTTTCAGTTATACTAAAGGTTAATTTTTCTCATCCTAAGAATATTAAATATATGCCCAAAGAAATCATTGGCCCTAAATTAAAACTATTGTAGATTCAAACGCTCTACGGTCACGGAAATTTCGTTAGATACGATTGGTAGTCTCTCTAGTTTCGATACTCGTGATTCTTTTCCGATCATGCCATTCATAATAAAATTGCTCCGTTCAGAAAAAAGCAGGAAAAGTAGCTTTGCTTGCAGTCTGTAATTATTTAGAATAATTACGAACTACATCTCCGATTTTGATGAAATTAGACGCGTTTTTGCTCAAACCGAAAGAATCTGTAAGAAAAAACGTTAAATCGGCTCCATGAACAGAGATATTAAAGGCCACAGCACAAATTTTTGCATAACGCATAATGCATAGTGCATTAAAGAATCCACCAATTGAAATTCTTCTTTTCCATGGAATGGAAGGAAAGGAAAAATTCTGATTAGCTGATTCGCTTATGCATTATATGTTATGCGTTATGCAAAAGTTTATGCTGCGGCCTTCAGCCAAGAACTCTGCAGTGGCGACATAAAATCAGATGGCGGCACAGTATAAGTTTATACTGTGGTACCGGAGTGATTTGAGAATCTGAACGCACTCTAAGATAAGAGAGTGTCCTACATGCATCGGTTACAGCAAACAGTAACGTAAAAATATTGGGTCATCTAAAAAGTATCCGCGGTTTTTTGTCACTAGATGTGTGTTGATGGTCATATATCTAGTGACAAAGTACCGCGGATACTTTTTAGATGACCCAATATATAAACATGAGCATGCATAATCATATATATATATATATACATTCATAAACATAATTACAATATATATAATTATATATGAAATATGTATATTCATATTCATACATCCTTCTTTCTTTTATAAAATAATTTTTTCTAAAACAATGAAAATTATTCTTGCAATTATTTATATTTTCTAATTATTATTATTTTTTTTATAGTATAACAGTAATTTCACAAAAGAAAGAAAGATGTATGGTCATGTATGGACATATTTCATATACAATCATGTATCATTATATTTTTATCCACATTTATATATGTTCATGATATTTATATTCATGCATGAAAAATTTTTTATTATTCATGCCATAATTAATTTTTAATTTAACTATGCTTAATTTTTAACCAAAATACATGTGCTAATATATTTAATTTATAAGCGGGGAGGACAGACTCTTGCATAATGCATAACACATAATGCATAAGAAAATGTACCAATCGAAGTCCTCCGTTGAAATCCTCTTTCCTTCCTTTCCATGAAATAAAGGATTCTGATTGGTTCAATTTCTTATGTTTTATGTGTTATGCAAATGCTCCCCTCTATAAGAGACATTCCATACAAACTTGCATAGCTGGATAAACATCAAGACATAAAGAAATGCATAAAGAACTCATCCAATCATATTTTACGTTTGTCTTTATGACAGAAATGTGATTGGATGATTTTCTTCATGCATATGATTATGCGGCTATGCAAGTTTGTGTGGAATAGCCCTAATAGCTGCAGCATAGACTTTGCATAATGCATGATGCATAAGGGAGTCAACCAATCGAAATTCTTCTTTTCCATGGAATGGGAGGTAAGGAAAGATTCTGATTAGTTGATTTGCTTATGCACTATGCGTTGTGCGCTATGCAAAAATGTACTGCGGCCTTAAGTGGAAAGCACAAACTCTTGCATAATACATAACACATAAGAAAACACGTAATGCATAAAAAAATGTACCGATCAACGTCCTTCGTTCCTTCTTTCTTTTCCATGAAATAAAGAATTCAAATTAGTTAAATTTCTTATGCATTATGTGCTATGCGATATGTAAGAGTCTGTGCTCCCTGTCTTAACTAATAATCTTGGCGAATTCGGCACACACTGACTCTTCATTAGTGCTGCTCCTACAAGGTGCGAGTGCAGAACTACTTTGGTGCTATGCCAAATTGCACTATCAGAAACGTTAGTGCAACATTTCTTGATTTCGTTCAGTTGATTCAGTTGATTTCATTCGGTTGATCCGAATTCAGCACTACATTGAATCAGTTTTCATTTTCCAAATATGATGATCTTAACGCACTGATACAATGCGCACAAGCTGAATGTATGGCATTAAAAAAGTTTGCACTCAATGCGCACTAGTGCAATCTGTCGAATTCACTATTAATATTACTTATGTATTGAGTCATCTAAAAAGTATCCGTGGTTTTTTGTCACTAGATGGTGTTGACATCAACACCATCTAG